GGGGGGAATCCCAGCAGGGAGCCGTGACAGTCACGGCTCTCTGCAGTGACATGATCGAGAAGTGAGCGAGCGACGGTATGCGTTCCCTCACTCCCCGATCTACAGAGCCGACCTGTGACAGTCTCATTCATTCATTGATTTTCACTCGCCACATAGTTCTCCTTTTTAATGACTAAACAGCTGAGAATGTGAGTTCCGGGGGCCGTAGTAAAATATTGATCCTCATTTTCCGGGTGACAATAAAGTGGATTCTTTCCTAATCGGAAATCGATGTTCTTCTCGTGTCTGTACAGTGACCGTCCGGTGAAGTTTGCAGAGCGGTCGCGGCCCGGCGTTCAGATTTCCTGCTCATCCTTTAGCTCAGGTATGTGTGATCGGGGCCCTGGATGTCCGAGGCGGGGGGGGAGGGTTGGTGCTTGTCCTACCTGAATGTTTTGAACTGTGTGGGACAGTTAGCAGGAGGACCAGCGTGCTGGAAATGAGGTGCAATGTGGTTTATAAACATATATACTGTGTGTGTGTATATATATATATAATGTATTTTTATATATATACACAGTATATATTATATTCTCAATCCAATAACCCTCCGTGCTGCACCCCGAGCCCAGCAGCTGCACCTAGATAATATAATAATGTTCCACAGTCTGCTCAGCAATGTTACCAGCATCGTATATTACACGGCCTCCTAATGTGCCCAAATATCAAATAATATCCACAATAAATGAGACAAAACCCCAACAGAATCATTTCCTAAACAAATAATAAGCCCGTGTCCTGGGGGATGCTTAAAGTGACATGAAAAAAACAATACTGTAATGTGCGCCTTATTGTAATCCATGGTTGTTTCCCTTCTCTTTGCTGCTCTTCCTTTTAAATCCTCATGTCTTCTCATGCTGGGGGAGAACTTCTGTTTTGCAGCTGAGTGCCTTGTCTCAGGAATGGATACACGGTGTCTGTGTGAAGGTTCACAACCTGAGCCAGCACTACAGGAAGAGGCCCTGAGCTGCAAAGGGAAGTTCTTCCCAAGCATGAGAAGACATGAGGATGTAAAAGGAAGAGCAGCAAAGAGAAGGGAAACAACCATGGGTTACAGTAAGGTCGCACAGTACAGTATTGTTTTATGTTACACAACATGAGGGTTTCATGTCACTTTTTAAATGTCCACTGCGAAGGATTCCACTCCACATACAATCCTTTACACCAAGAGGTCCATTCATGAAATGCTCCAAGCAGCTTTGTCACCGGATTCACCCATTTGTCTCCAGTTGGATTCAAATTAAAAAAATGTGTGAATCTTGTGTGAAATAATAGACATATATAAGCTACTGCCCGCGGTATACTGAGACGTCGGAGCGGATCCCGACATCGATGTCTGGATCCGCCCAGCTGCGTGAGTGACAGCTGGCTCCGCCTATCTAGAGGCAGCTGTACCCGCCCCCTCCCCCAGTCAGCGCTGGCGGATCGGAGGG